AATTAATTAAATGTGTCAATAATTAATTAATTACATGTGTCATAACTATTTATTTAATTAATTATTTCCCATTTTAATTAATTATTGCCACATTTAATTAATTATTTATGTATTTCCCATTTTAATAAATTATTGCCACATTTAATTAATTATTTAATGGTGTATTTAATTAATTCATTATGGCAGTCCTGGCGTTCCATACAAACCACCATGCCATTCAGTTTATGCTCCACCAAGGAATGCCAGATCACAGTTGGAGAACCAATGATTTATTGGAAAAAGAAATAGAGTTATCTATAGTATTCTCTATGGTCTGACTTGTTGTAGGTGTTTTAATATTACTGTTTGCTACTTAGAAATGACAGCTGGTGTGTATTATTAATTTGAAGTTGCTATTTCATTGGTGGGAGCACTAAAGTAGCTTTTCTTATCATTGAGTAGACTATAAACTCTGTTTTTGAATAATTATTTAATCATATTGTTTGCATTCTATTACAACTTTTTGTAAGTTTTCTAAGTCTCTTAGGTAACTTCAAAATGTTAATGTTTGGTTTATTTCAGTTTTTTATTTGTTCCTGAGTAAATCGTTTTGGCTGAGATATATTTAAATTCGGGAGGAAACATTTTCACCGGGAACAAAACCAGCATGTTAATACGTGGAGATTCTAAAGGCTGCTCCAACAGTGATCATATTATAATTTAAATATTTGTTCAAACCCCAGCAGCTGTTTATTTTAATTTTGAGTGTCCACTACAATAAAAATAAAACCATTCTACCATCTCACCAGCTTGTTTTTATTAAGACATATATTTACACTACTTTTATTAATAGAGATTTCGCTACTGAGGTTAAACATGATATATAAGTCACTTAGATCACTTCTAAATGTTAATGTTTGGTTTATTTCAGTGTTTTATTTGTTCCTGAGTAAATCAGTTTGGCTGAGATTAAAGTTAAGCTTCATAACATATTATGTTAAATTAAGAGGGGACGTAAAAACTCCGGACCTGTGAGATCATCAAGTACGCTGGTGTTCCAGTTGTACAAATCGTACTCGCCGAGAACGCGAGTACGGACTTGCGTACTTGAGAATTGAGAAAGGGCCTAGGACTTTTTAAGCGGAGGACGATCCAGACATCTTGTGTTAGGGTGCTGGTCTCGCAGATTGATAGCCTGCTGCTACACATCACGTTTTCATTATCAAAGTTTCTCTGGTTGCTTTATATTGATGTTATGTTGTTGTGGAAATGTTCAGCTAAATTTTCTAGCAATTTCAACAAAACTTGTGCTACATTTTAAATGTAGCACAAGCACTTCCCACTTTTTTATTAGTTTTTTTGTTTTTAGGGGTGTGGGGGTTACGTTAACTGATTTGTTTACCTATTCCGCTCTCCGTGTTACACGTGTTGCATTCGCAGATTCTCGTTTTGACAGAACGATCATCTCTTTACGCCTGGTCTTGTGTCTCTGTGCTTCTGTAACATAAAGAACGAGCTGACATTTTTCTCACGACACCAGCGATCAGCTCAACAGGCCCTCAGTTTACCTGCATGCATCCTCCTCCTCACCTGTCAGCTGTTCAACACCTGCTGCTAATTCAAGAAACACGTCCACGTTACCTGGTGATAGTCACAGTTTAACTGGGCAGCTGGTGCTCAATATAACGCAATGTTGGTGCATTTTTCTGCACAAGATAAGTAAATATAGTTTTTTTTCCCGAGCGCAGAGCTGCTGGAGCTTGTTTCCCTACAGAGCACTTTATAGGCGAACCCACTTTATCAGCGGCTGATGTCCAATCACCGGCACACAGCTTTGAAACCTCACCTGAGTTTTAGCTCTCAGTGGTTAAAAGCTGGACTTAATTCACTCAGGTTCTGTCTGTCGGGTCACGTTTACTTCGCTGTTTCATTTACAACTGAGCAAATCGGTTTAGCTGAGGTGAAAGTTACGTTTCATAACTGCACAGTTTTACTGAAGTTTAATGGTTCACTGGCACATGTGTTAGACCGAGCCCATTCGCTTTTCTTTGTCTGGTGAGTTTTGGGATTAAACTGACTTTTAAAATGTTTTATACAAAGAGGAAAGAGAAGGCACATTTCCACCGAGAGGAGCAGAGTTTGCAACAGTATGTTCATCATGAAGACTGCAGCCTGGACAGAAATATTACATCATCAGTTGTTAAATACTTATTCAACTTTATTATAAGCACCAGGTATCAGTTAGAATTTTTAGAGTTTACTTAACTAAAAATAAACGAGGTTAACATATAATTTGGGTGATTTTGGGTCCCTGGGTCGCTCAGACCCAGGGACCCTGAGCAGTTTTGGACTAATAATATAATTGATGTATTTTGTATTGCTGTCCCTCATTCTCCCTGCATATGTGTCTGTGTGTGGGTATGGCCCTGGCAGGTGATTGGCCACACCTGAAGACCATGTCACACCTGCAGCTGATCAGGCCTCGTCGGAGGAGCTACTTGAGAGTGTGATGGAGCTCTCTCCGACGCGGGATCATTGCGTGACTTCACGTCAGTCTCTCAGCCAGTCAGTACGATTGTTCTCCCGCATTGTGTGATGATCGCTTTATCCTACTGAAGTCAATTGCTATCACCTTGGGCTTGCCTGCGTTCAGATGTAGCTTGTTGTTGTCACACAAAGCATGTTTTAGTAACCATGCTTCCAGTTTCATTTAATAAACATGAGACTCTTATGTATTTCCAGCTCTTTATTGGATTTCATAGATTTTTCTATGACAGTAAAGTATAACAGTTAACTATGGTACAGAACTTAACAATGTGTGATTAAAAATTCCAAATACACATAAAAAATAACGAACTTCATTGTTTTTAATTCATAAAATATATTTTTTATTTTTGAACAAACAACTAACAAAGGAATTGTACATTTTTTTAAATTATTCACACTGATTTTTCTTTTAAATCTGCATAATATGCTTCCACTTAATTTGAACAGTAACCGTGGCCGCTGCCTCAAAGTTCCTTATCAAATGGATTCCACAGCTCACTGTCAATGAATAGGCTCTGTCCATCCTCCAACAGCACCTCAAGCTGGTTCAGCTTTTCACTTGTAGCTACACCAATGATGAGGACCTCCGCTCTGTCCTCTACTTTTGTCTGTTGACAGAGCATAAGCACATATTTAGCCCTGCAAACATTCCATTTTTTATCCAAAAAGAAAATCTATGGTCATCATGTGGTTTCAGTAAATCACCAAGACGCATACATTGTTTGTATTTGTACACATAATGTGTGTATATGTATGTGTTACATTATGCATTATATGATGCATGCTCCATCCAGGTAAGTAAATCCCAAAGACCTCTTGGGATTATGTTCATCTGGACATCTATATATCTATATATTTTTTGTGTGTGTGTGTAACATAATATGATTATATATAATATTATTTCATATTTTGACCCAGACTGAAAAAATATGTATTTACATTTCAAAACCTAGTTCTAAACATTTGTTGATAAGACACTGCTGTGAAATGTTGGTACAAAGGTTTAGCTTCTTCATACCTCAATCTTTGTATACGTTGTGCTGTGCAGCTGTGGCCCACATTAAAGCTGTGAATTGCTGCCTCCTTCAAGAGGAAGACTGACATGGTATGACCATCCTGAAATCATCATCGCCTCTCATTATGTAAGACCCCCCCTGCTGGACTTTAGAGGCAAACTCCTCGAACATCGTGACCTTGGTCACAGTCTGCCCATCGGTGATGGCTG